CTTCAATATCACCACATTCCCGATCACATAAAGAATCTTGTCAGTAGCCTTTATACTGATTTCCAAACTTCCATAATAACTGAACAGTTCAATACTACCTTCATTACAGTCGGTCGTGGCGTCCTTCAAGGCGATTGTCTCAGTCCTCTTTTATTCAACATGTCTTTCAATACCTTTATCCAACATATTAAATCGGAAAAATACCGTCAACTTGGATTTTGGAAATCCAGTGAAAACGGTACCCCATTAAATCCTCTTCATTGGTTCCACTTTGCCGACGACGCGGCTGTTGTTAGCGGCCAAGAAAAAGAAAACCAAATGCTCCTTAATCGCTTTACAATCTGGTGTCAGTGGGCTCAAATGATAATACGTGTAGACAAATGTTCAACATTTGGCATTAGGAAACAAGTAACCAAATCCATTCAATATCTCCCAAAACTATTTATAAATAACTGTCTTGTACCACGTGTTGAACTTGGTAAATCGTTTCGCTACTTAGGTCGCTATTTTGATTTCAACATGTCCGACGAAGATCTCAAATCTGAAGTATATGACACACTTACTAATATCCTGAATGAAATTGATGATCTACCATTACATCCGAAAAACAAAATTCTCTTATATAGTCGTTATGTGCTTTCCAAAATCTCTTGGCACTTCACTGTTTCTGACATAGGCAAAACCTGGGTTAACGATAAACTAGATAGTATCGCGTCCACGTATATCCGAAAATGGCTTGAACTTCCTATTTCTGCAACCCTTAGTAACGTCCTACTTCCCCACAATAAATTTGGATTAAATATCATTCTACCTTCAACCAAATTCCTTCAATGCCAAACTGTTTCTCGGAAAGCCCTAAAGTCGTCGCCAAATCAAGCGATCAATAACCTTTGGAAGGATACTAGCAATCACAAAAATGTACAGTATGACAAATACAAAAACACCAAAGACGTATTAAACACCATCAGAAAACAACATGAAGACAGGCTTCAACACCACCTCATTTCACAAGGCTCATTTTTCTCCAATATCATTAAACATTCTACACTCTCATTCAACTCTATATGGTCCTCCGTTCAGAGTAAACTTCCCAAGAATATATTTAACTTCACTATCCGGTATATAAATAACACTCTTCCGACTCGCAAAAACCTTCTGAAATGGGGAATATCACCAACATCCGAATGTTCGTTTTGTTTGAATCCAGAATCACTTCTTCACGTCGTCGCTGGATGCAAGACCTACCTAAATGAAGGACGTTTCACGTGGCGTCATGATTCGGTGCTTAACTTCATAGCATCCATACTTAAATCTGTGAACCATTGTAACCTTTATGCTGACCTTCCTAGCTATATCAGTCCATCTGTTATCACCGGAGATGAATTGCGCCCTGATCTTTTGATAACACTTGAAAACAAATGTATTTATATACTTGAACTTACCGTCGGATTTGAATCTAATCTCCTCACTAATGCAACTCGATAAAGACAAAAATATCAAGATCTAATTAACGAACAGCTCAAAAATTATGAAAAAGTGAAATTTGTAAATTTATCGATTAGCTCATTAGGAGTTTTCAGCCACCCGTCGCTAGATTTCACCGAAATGCTGAAAGATCTAAAGTTTGATGAACAATGTAGAAAGTACTATGTTCGGAAAATTATTAATATATGTATCAGGTCCTCGTATTATATATTCTGTAAGCGTAACAAAGAATGGGATAACCCACAACTAATGTCATACTAATATTGTTAGTATGTAGAGTGTTAATTCAAGTAGACACTGGTAAACTACCTGTAAAGAGAGGTTTATCATTGTAGTGTGTATATATATTATTGAAAGTAATAAAGTTTCCATCATTATTATTAATCATCCAATCATCAAATTAATCATTAATAATAAATTTAATTAATTAATTAATTAATAATTAATTAATTAATTAATTAATAAATAAATAAATAAATAAATAAATTAATTAATTAATTAATTAATTAATTAATTAATTAATTAATTAATTAATTAATTAATTAATTAATTAATTAATTAATTAATTAATTAATTAAATTAATTAATTAATTAATTAATTAATTGGCCAGGTGTCGTATACATGAATTAAACGAAGCAAGAGAATGTTTGTTTCTTGCTTCATCTGAAGGCTGTTCCACAATTTTGCTCCTCTATAACTAAGACTTTTTTAAGATATTCAGTCTTAGATTTGGGTAAAAAGAGTTTTGTGGAACAGCCTTGCATATTATAGTAATAAGAGTAAGACGTCCTTTGAAAAATGTTGGTTAGTCGTTTTGGTGCCAGTTCGTGAGTTATTTTATACATAAGACTTGCTACGAAATGTGTTCTGCGTTCACTTAAAGTTTTCCATTTCAGTTCGTCTAGAGCAAGTTCAGATTGACCATGTTCATTTTTACGGCCAGTAATAACTCGAGCTGCCCTATTTTGTAGTTTCTCGAGTCGATCAGAAAGTATGGCGCCAATGGTGTCCCAAACTTCGCAACAACAATCTAGGTGTGGAAGCATAAGTGCATTATAAGCACATACTAATGTATTTTGATCCACCCAAGATTTTAGCTTTCTGATCGCCCCAATTCCGGATGAAATCTTCTTAGCAATTTTATCAATATGCTTATCTCACAATAGAAACTCGTCAATATGAACTCCAAGTGCTTTTGCTTCTTCGACCTTTTTAATTGGTGTATCACCAACAAAGTCATTTGGAGCACCAAGTAAATTATTTATGTTGTCCCGTGATCCTATTAGTAGATATTCAGTTTTGACTAGATTAAGAGATAATCTATTTGCAGAAAGCCATTGTTTAACGTTGGTAAGTTCATGATTTATAGACACCTCTACATCTTGAATTGACTTGTCAGATACAGTTAGAGTCGTATCGTCGGCAAACATTCTTGTCGACGAGTACTCCAAACTGTTAGGCAGATCATTAATGTAGATTAAGAATAAGAGTGGGCCAAGAATTGAACCTTGAGGGATTCCACATGTAACCAACTTCGTGCTCGACAGAGCGCCATTAACGGAGCACATTTGGGTTCTATTCGTTAAATAGGATCCTAAAAGGTTTAATGATGGCTTCTGTAGGCCATAGGCTAAAGATCAAGTTTCGTTAACAGGATGTCATGATTTATGGTGTCGAACGCCTTTTGTAGGTTCCGAAAAACAGCTATATTAAACAAACCACGGTCCATATTA